AAATTTATCTCCTCAAAGTTTTTTTTTCTCTTTTTATGACATTCGGCCCAAAGGAAGATATGTCAAAAAAAAAAGATTTTTACTTTTCTTTTCTATTTATTTACAATATGTACAATGATTCTGATGTATGAAATCAGTACGTTATGTTATATGACGTGGTTGTGGAGTTTCTTTAAGAAGGCGAAAAGCGAGAGAATAAGCCACGGCTGTTTTCCGTGGTTCATTGCGACCATCGAAGTAATAGCCTATCTTTTGGACTTGTTTAAACTCCAGTCGATTCGCTTGTTTAATATAGTCACCTTTGATGAAACTTGTTTCCAATTCAAGTAATTGGATAATATCAGGGCATGATGCCCATCTATTTTGAATACCTATTTTCTCGAGTGCTTTAACCGTTGCAGTGTTGGAAAGTGAGACTTTACCGGTTCGTTTTTGCCCTTTAGCGTTATCAGATGTTAGTCTAACAATAGCGAGCTGAAGATGAGGTGCTATGCCTCTCAACCAGCGAGTTTTAGCTGGACTTTTTTTTTCTGGTGTATAATGTGTGTCATCAAGATTATGTCTAAGATGTAGATTTCTGAAGAAACCATCGCCTGTTTGTGGCCGATTAGGTCGAAGACCGTATGCTTTCATGGTCACAACTATCGAAAAAAAGTAATAGAAAATACTTGAGGAAAAATTATAAGAAAGGCAGAAGGAAGTTGATAATTTGTATAAGTAAGAAGAAAATGAGATGTATTTATATCTAGAATTGAAGATGTTACTGAAGAAGTGTTGTTAGTTTTTTTTTCGTTTCTTTTTTTTAATTTAATTTAATTTTTGCGAACAAGTATGGGATTTATAAGCTGAACAAATACAGCAATGGCTAAACAAAAATTGATTTGATGGTGGCATCAATGGTTGTAGACCTGTGTAAAAAAAACATTTTCAAATTTTCTGATATTTGGAAGTTTGAAAGATAAGAGAATTTATAGTGTAGAAATTAAAAGAAATAATTATTTGAATACTATCTAAAACTCTTTAGCTATTCTCTTGCCATAAGATAGTATTAATGTGTGATGCATCATACCTTGGCATGTTGAATAACTAATAGCAGATGAGCCATATGGTAGTTGACCAGTTGATGTTGAACTCCAAATTAAGTTATTATTTTTATTGTTGCTGTTGTTGCTAATTTTCTTTTTTCTCGACCATGAATAGAAAGAACCACCTTTGTAATTATTTTTCTTTTTTAGTGTCGATACTAACGAATGTTTATTTTTTACTACATCAATTACAGAATTATTTTCGGTGATTGGATTTTGAATCTGATCTTCTTGGTGTTGTTCAGATTCAGACATGTTTTAATAATCTAAAGCAACGATGATAGAAAATGAACAAAATGATTGTAATTCAATCGACTGATGACAAAAAATACAGAGTGAAAAAAAAGGCGTCAAGATGCACATGTTAGACGTCTTTATTTGTCGCTATGATGGTAGTCACTGAGAGAAGCCGTCATCTTTTCGAAGCTTGACGAAAGGAGAAAAGAACGGTTGACAAGCTTGTATATATTCATGAAACGAATAAAGACATACACACTACATATAAAAATGCACATGTCGTGTTAGTTTCATTTTAGATATATTTGAAATTATTCTATTTCGTCTTCGATCATCGATCGTCATTCTATTTGGCGCCTTATTAACATTTGGTCATTTTTGAAAAAAATTCAAGTATTCTATATCTTTCTGATGCGTGATAGTTCTCAGTTTTTAATAATATTGAGAGTGCTTCGAAAGTTGAAAATATAATAAGAAAGATCGAAGTGCTACGTTTGATTTAAAAAAAAGATTTTCTGGTCTCTTTTTATTTCATAAATCGTTCAATTGAATCTGCATTCTTTTGAAACAATTTTCATCCCGTCAAGATTAATATATAAATCAATCTGAAAGGATAAACCAATTGAGATGATCACATATAGAAAACTAGAGCGAGATTGCCAGTCTAAATTAATGGTGATAATAAGGTTTGTCGAGCTGCTTATCTCTTTAGAGTAAGACTATTTGTTTCGTTGGAAAAATATATTATTTAATATTAAAAATCATTAGATGAAGTACATAAATATTATCAGTAGACTTAATTCCATTTGATCTTTTCTATTATCAACCATGAGTTTACAAGAGAGGGTTATCAAAAAAATATTTCTCTTACAAAGTTTCGAAGAATTCAGCATCACTTTTTTCGAATGTTGACGCCTTGAAAACAAGAAAAATATGTATATGACTGAGTATTGGATCAACACGATTACAGTGAGCCTTAGTTAGCCAATAACAAAAGACAAAACTGATAAATGAGATGATCTGTATCACTGAAACATGAGTAGATTTTTAGACGTCTTTTCCTTCAAATTCAGTTTGATTGTTAAGATTCTTTAGGACCAATTACTTGATTCATATTTTTTTATCAACAAAAAAAAATCTTGCTTAATTCAACAAGCTTATCTTATATACATTATTATTTCAATGCATTTTTCACGATCTCATTTCAGTCCTCTATTTTTAGAGCAATTTTTGTCATTGACTTCAATCAATTATTATTATTCAATCAAGAGTTATATTGATCTCATTTATTGTTATTTTATTCAGGTATAGTTTTTTTTCTATTAATGAACTATTTTCCATTTTTTTTTCATGCTAATCAAAACTTGAGATCAGTATCTCCTATTTACGAAGGAAAAACAAACACGTAGTTTTTTAAAATTTTTTATAACATTATAACAAGAAACAAATTTGCCTATGTGAATATGTTCAGTTTTAATTTCTACTTTCAAGTAGCTTAGTATAACATAGACTACTTTTTGTTCAAATTTATAACAAAAATATTTCAACCTTTAGTTCATTTTAAAATTTGAAAAAAGACAGACACATGGGTTTTTAAAGAAAAATGGGTTGTTGGACTTGTTTATTCTTTCTTTACGAAACAGAAGTCAAATTAGTAAGTTATGTATCAATAAAATAGAAGAAGTTCTGTCTCTAAATTCTCTAAAAACATTGAAACAATAAAATAAAATGTTGATAAATAGACAAACTTTATGTAAATATTCTTTTAATTTGTACTTCATCTCTGAATTAACATTACTGCAAGGATAAGTCCTCTTTTGTCTTTTTTAATTTTATGCTTTTTGCATTTATTTTTTTTTCTTTAGTTAGTTTATCGTTACTGCAAGTGTATATACTCGTATATGAGAATGAGTGAGAAATCATTGAAAATACCAATAGAAATTCGTGGGTGGAAGTCATTGGACTCGACCAGTTTGTTAAACGAAATTAAGAAAAATGTTTCATCTCATTTGATGGAACAAAATCTTGATATAAGCGAATCTATCATCCATAAATCGTGTAAAAATGCGTTGTTTCTTAACCGTTCAAAGAAGAAAACTGAAAAGAAATCTTTTGCTGTATATATACCACGATTTCATATCAATAGCAGTAGTTCCTTGTCGAGTCCGAATTCAGTTTCTTCTATAAACGTAGAAGATAGTGATAATGATGAGCAAAATCATTTTTTACCGAAAAATGATTTTGTTCAACAAGCTGCTCAATTAACATTTGAGTACACCGATGAAAAAGGACTGATAATGAAAACCAACTATACCTATATGAAAGACATTTTTTTGAGGTTTTAAGTCATTCATCAAAATCCACTAATATCTCTAAGTTTATTGACGAGATTTGCAGCTATTGTTTTAATTCAGTTGTCAAATTCTACGTCAACTTGCCGAAGATGCGTCGCCAACTCTGTAGTCAGCTGAGCTGTTTTATTCGAGATGCCAAAAAAAGAGCTAAGACCATATATAAAACAGTAACAAGAGTATTAATGGAAACAAGAACGTTCCTTTTCTACTCAGATGCTATCGAATCTGTAAATAAAAGTGACGAATTTGTATCACATAATTTCGAATCATATCAGTGTAGTAATGCATCCGATCGTATTTTTATGGTTCGAGATAAAGATATCATATGCATTCAGCCTGGAAATGCTTGTTTACATATGCATATTAGTGAATCATTTGCTCTCAGAGCACTCGAAATTTTTGATTTAACTAGAATAGTTTATGTCGATGATATTCTTTTTATTGTAGAAGCCTATTGTCGAAAGCGACAGTTGGTGCCAAATATTGAAAAACATAAAGAAATTTTAAAAACAACCATTTTAGATAGGCGAATTTATAATGTTCGAACAAGCTTTTTCTCTTGTACTCTTATACTAGAAGATCCAGACTCTTGTACCTTGAATGAAACATATGTTGATCTCGATGCGTTATTAGGACCTATTTATTCTACGCGAGGGATTAAAAGAAAGGGTCAACTAGTGCTATCCGATAGTGAGAATAGTGATTTGGAAGAACATTCTCATGAACAGGACGATCTTTGGCAGCCGGGTGCAGGCTCTTCTTCAAAGAAGAACGACAAGAAAGATAATATTTCTGCTGAAAAAGAAGAACTTCGAAGAAAATTTCTTCATATAAAAGATGAACATCATATCACCGATTCAGCTATAAAAGCTATGTACAAATTTTTTCGAGAGACCAAAGAAGCTTTTTATTCAATGGCAGAGCTCGAACAAGTACGAAATGAAGCTAATAGAAAAATTCCTTTGACATTCACAAAAGATTCGACTTACGTGCCATTTGAATTTGCTCTACGAACTGCTGTTTTTGTAGCTAAAAAGTTTCGTTCCGATCTTTTATAGTTGAATCAACTATCTTTTCGCTTGAACATGGACGGAACGCTTATGGGCAATAAACATGTTGTAGCTATATCAGTTAATTGTGTCGATGGAGGAGCGTCCTGTCAGATAGCGAAGAAGCTGGTACCCGTTGGTATTTTTAAAATTCAAAAAGAATCAAATGAGCTTTTGCGCAAAACTCTTCCAAAAGATTTCCTCGATTCTATTCAATCTGTAAAGTATTTGCAAGTCAGTCGAAAGAAAAATGTAGCTGTCAAAGTCCAACTAGGTGGAGACTATCAAAAGGCAGTCTATGTGCTCGGTCTAACTGGTGTTTATAGCAACCACCCCTGTGTATTTTTCACACAGAATAAAACTTACTTGCATGTTACAGAGAACAATATAGAGTGTGAAGAAGAAGTGTGGGTGGGGACAGGCAAAAATAAAAATAAAAAAAAACAGAAAGTTCTCGTCAGTCCTATGTCCTCATATGATACCACTCGTGGTGTTCGAAGTCTTGAAGAGAAACGTATTTGTCTGGCAAAAAAAGGGAAGACTGGAACAAACAATGAGCTAGGATATCAATCTGAACCTCTCTTTGGAAATTTGTTCGAGTTTAGTGATTATGTAATTGATAGTCTTCATATGCGTTTAAGAATTTTTGATATTCTTCTGAAGGATATTTTAGCCGAAGCATCACGAACAGGGGAATATGAACCTGCACATACTAGAAAATTAGAAGAAAAAGTTGAAATTTTAAACCAACATTCTATCTCTAATATTGGAAAACGCTTTTCCTTCAAAATCGAAACAGAAAATAATGCAAAGACAATCGTACCGTGCGGTCGTTTTTCTGGTCATTTACAGGAACTGTTCTTTATTGATTCATTTCCTTATGACAAAATTATTCAAAATGAGAACATTTCTAAAAATGCAAAAAATTTAGTCAATAAGTTCAAGTCCATTCTCCAACTTACAAAGACAGAGAAATCCAAACGAACAAGTATTCTAGCTGATATAGCAAAATCTTTTGTAAAAGATTTTCGTCAATCAGGGTTAAGAACCAGCTGTACACCTTATATGCACCTAATTGGTACTCACTTAGCTGAGCAGGATGAGAATGAAGATTTGACAGCATATGATATGCAAGGTGTCGAAAAGTCGAATGACTTGCTCTCTCGTCTTTATTTTTCATCTAGCAATCGAGCAAAAACTCCATTAAAAACAATGGTTCAAAATTTATATAGGCGACTCGAAATGAATTTTACTGAACCAAGTGAGAGAATAAAAATGGGCCAATATGCTCTAAATGGAAAATTCAGCGAAACTGACAGCGAGAAAGATGATGATATCACAGATGATACATTAAATGCTTCTTTCAATTTGGATCAATCGAAGGAATATGAATGTCCTACTGGAGATAGTGAGAGTGACGAACTTCTTTCTGTAGCAGATGAAGAGAATTTCGATCAAACGCCATCTTATGTAAAACAAAGTTATCGAATAGTGAATCGTAGCGAATATCGTTGGAAAAGCTTCAAAAAAACATAGACTCATCCAATCGATTCAACTTCCTACTACTCTTTTTATGCCTTCCATTAAAGCCGGTATAAATGTAAGAACCTTTGCTGAATAATAAAGATATTATAGTTCTTTTTTCCAACAAAACAGATCTCTTTCATCTAATATGAAATAATGGTATTTATGAAATATTAATAAATAAACCAAAAGGAATAGATGTGCCAGCTAAAGTTAATAATAGTAGATCTAGTAAAACATTTTTCATTTCATTTCCATCGAACAGTAGAAATAATTAAGGTTTTAGATCTTCTTGTTTTTATAGCTGAATGGTATTATTTTGTTTCATAATGTTTAAAATATTCGTTTTATTCGAATCTAATACTTAGAAGTTTTTTTAAATATTCTTCTACTATTTTATTACGCTAAAAAAGCCTGCACCATTTCTTCTTTTTTATGTTCCAGTTGTTCCTGATGAATCCACAACTTTGCTTCAAAAGTCTTTACGAATCATGTACATGTTGTTTACACACTCATTTAGCAGAATATATCCCAATAGTTGATTCGCATTGTCACTTAGACGACTTTTCGAATAGCTATCCTTATTTCCAAACTATACATTCATCTAATATTCGACAAGTTTTTATGATATCGAATAAGCATAAATTCCATAATTGGAATACAGTGTTTCCATTGCCATACCAAAATCTACATGTTTATGAAACATTCGGGATTCACCCGAAATTCCTCCAGGAACATGATTTGCATATCAAACTCTCGTATCTAGAAAATATTTTTCGTAATAAGTGGCATCCTGTATCAGGAAGAAAAATTGTTGCTGTAGGTGAAACGGGTCTAGATGAAACAAGTCAATATTCATTAGATTATCAGAAAACAGCTTTCGAACAACAAGTCCTTATAGCTCGAAAAACAAATTTACCCTTAGTCCTTCATTGCCGTGGATACTCACTCTTTCGCTGGATGCTTCATTCACTTCAGTCAACTTTGCCTAAACAACATCCTATTCAATGCCATTGCGTAAAATCAGATAGTGATTTACATGTCATTGATCAGTTTATTGCGATTTTCCCAAACTCAGTGGTCTCTATAAATGGAGGGAGTACACACATTAAAGACATCGATCTTGATAAAGTATATAAAAAGCGGATCAGAAACCATCCAACTCTTCTACAACATCGTGTTTTAGAGACCGACTGCCCTTTGCTTTGTCCAAAAAACTTACCTGTACAGCAGTACAATCCATGCACCGGAATTTTTATTGTATCTAAATGGTTGGAAAATAATCTACGAGCTCCAGGCAAAAATGCCTCAACGATAATTCGCATTGCTAATGACAATGCGAAAAACCTCTTCAGGTTATCTATATAGAATATGACATAAACGCACTGCTTTGTAGCTAAGATAATTGTCCATATTGTAAATAAATAGAAAAGAAAAGTAAAAATCTTTTTTTTTTGACATATCTTCCTTTGGGCCGAATGTCATAAAAAGAGAAAAAAAAACTTTGAGTAGATATATGTTTTTCCCTCTCCTTTCTCATTTTATTCTTCTCTTTATTCATTTCTTATCACTTATAAAACTAATTCAATTATAATGGCACAAAAAAGAAGCTAATGATGGTATGATAGAAACGTTTTATTCTTTTCGTTTGTTGCTTATTATTTCTTGCTATTTTTGTCATGTTTTATGCATTTAATTATTTTATGATTTGTCAGGTTTCAGAAAAGTGTTGGTTATGGTGTTTGCAAACACAAAAACTGATCCTGACCCTTTTGTTCGATTGTCATTTGATGCATCTCAATTGAATCTAGATTGAATTATAAAGTCTGATTTAAATCGAGTTTGTTTCTTATGCTCAATCTACTGAAGGGAAAGGATAAATTCGTCGATATTAATATTATTTAAAAGCAAACAAAATTTCTTTCTAAAACTTCTTAATTTTCTTCATTTATTTTTAGTAAACATAATTAATGGTCATATAATGATTGCTCAAATAAGTAAGCAATCAATAACAATGTTTCATGTTTATTTCTTTTTTTATTTCTTTTGTTTGATTAGATATTCAATTCTCAATTGAAAACAAAATTTTTAAGTTCTTTTGTTTAACATCTCAAATAATCTTCTATCAAAATAGTGAGACGAATTCTTAAAAAGAAAAAAAAAAGATTTTTTTATTATCAATAAAAGACTACATTTATTAGATACTGAAGAATCTATGCATTTTCTCTTTAATTCTTGTCTGTTTTTAGGCATTTTACATCGTGTAAACTGAATGTATTTAATTTATTTATAAAAGATGTATTTTTTATGGTCGTGGTAAGATAATTTGAGATGAGAAAAAAATTTATATGATTCCTTTTTTAGGTGGTTTCAAATAAAATTGGTCTTCATATGGTTGAAAATGGATTTATTCTGATGAATAACAAATAATTCATTTTGTATCTTTGTGTTCACAACGATAAAAAGAAACATTTTTATACTGTGTGAAATTGTTTTTCCTTTTTCTTTTATTTCGCTTTTCGATTATTAAAATAGATTCATCATTTATCATGTAAGATTCATATTGTAAATTAAATCTTCTAAATTTATAATAGTACATGTGAATAAATAAACAAATCATAAAGCATTAGATTGAGAGATTCTTTTTGATGATGAACACAAATATAAATAGAAGCGTTGAAAAAAAAGAAATTCAAGTCTTATACAATCAATAGAATTCAATTTTTATTTATTGATTTTCATTTAAATAGAGATCAAGGTTTATTATAAACAATGTCCTTAGAAAAAGAAAATCAAAGACATCAAATCGAAACTATTATTCCATAAATAAAAGTCTTTTTTAATTCATGGAAAGAATTCTCTGCTTTTCTATTTCTTCAATCGAAATCACTCGTTCATATTCTGTACGAGTCTGTATGTAGAAGAACGCACGTGATATCGGTCTTCGCTAGTCTCTCATTAAAATAAAAATGATGATAATTGGGGACAAAGAAAACGAAATACGATAAAAATAATATGAAATCTATATGAATTAATAATTCCAATTGCAATCTTGTTTTGTAATTGTCTCAATAGAATTCAAAGAAAAATAGAGCATATAGCTGAATATCTCCATGAAAAACAAATATAAATTATCAAAATGTGTTTCACATATTGTAAAATAATTCAAGTATAAATTTAGATATTTAATCATGAAACGATGACTCATAATTTTCCATAATTACTGAAATCTTTTTAAATGAAGAATTAGGGTTTCAATATATTTTTTAGAGTATATTTACTAAGAAACTATTGCTAAATTGCTTCAGTCATTATCTCAACATCATAATTAATGTGGATTTTTTTTTCTTCCTTCATCTACTGAATGCACAATAGAGTCATATATATATACGCATGCGTATATGTATTTAAAAAAGGAACAAGCGAACGAGAGCGAGAGAGAGCGAGAGAACAAGAAAAAAAAAGAAGTTCAAGAGACTGCTGTAATTCTTGCTGGGAAATCTATTTTTAAAATTTTTTGCTGGGGACTAGAGAGGACGCCTCGCTGAAAATTACACCAAGTGTTCAGTTTTTCACGCTCTTTCTAATGATGTAATTTTTATCAACTCTGCACGAGATCAAAAATTTCGAACCGGTGGATATGTTTCCGATAAAAAGTGAAGTTGAATTACCGAAATCAATTATGCTATCTCAGTTAGCACTGATCAGAAGTGTTTGATTTATTAGAGTCGATTTAAAGATGCTTCGCTCTGCAAAAGATTCCCGTCTATGCTGTTCGCTATCTTCATTATTGAATTCATTATCAAACTCGCAAGTAGAATCAGTGTCTAATTCATCGTCTAATTCGGAATCTGTAAGACTTTCAGCAACATCAGAATCAGTTGTACTAATAGATGCCATAATAATCCAGAAAAAAATTCAGAATATGCCAAAAAGAGTCAGTGTAATGTATAAAGTTGAGTAATAACAATTAGTATTATTGCCGTCTCTTTGTAAATATTATTTTATTCAATCACTCTGTACGATTTACGTGATAAGGGCATTCCTATTTATACTACTTCAACAGAATATTCTGGAATATCAAATAAAAAATTGGCTTCGTATGAGTCATCGAAAGTAAGTTACGAAAGAGACCCCTAGTTGTCACAACATGTCGCTAGTGAGTTTCAAGCGGTCTTCAAAAACCACAGAAACAAAATAGTGAATAAAAGCGTTATCATTCTATTCAGTTTGAAATCGTAAATTTACGGGCTTCGCCGTCAAAGGATTAAGGATACTATTTGCTACTCCTCTTACTGTTTTGATTGCTGAACTTATTACTAAAAGTAATCTGAATAAGGATATAGATAATAACGATAATTGTGATGGACTTGATACAGACTACGCGTTGAAATGAATTGCATCACAAAAGATTTAAGACATTGACTTATTTCGCAGTTTTTTTCTATTCTCTTTCATTTTTCTCTCCAATACAATACTAAGCACTTTTTAAAAGATGTGCAAATGAAAAGGGTTGATGGTAATGGTGAGAGAATGAGGTAAGCACTGATGACGCGTTTCGACCTAGCTAAAGATCTCATCAGTTGGTTTCATCCATGGAGACACATAGGTTCTCTTTTCGATGATCTTTAGATCATGTTGGACAACGTTAAAGTAAAGCAAAAATCATAGATTGGACAAAAAGAAAAGCATAGAATACTGATTGTCTATCATTTTGCACACTAAATAAGCAGGATTCATTCAATCATATTAAATAAAATTTAGTTCTAAAAATTCTTCTTGAAATGAATCTTCTCTTTCTGTCTGCTAAAATCGTTCACTTGAACCATTAAAAATTATTTGAAAAGAAAAAAGAACAAAATGCAATGCGATCTTAAATTTTATTACAAATGGGACGTTCGAAATTTTGAAAAACTACACATGTATGTTTGTACAATTTTAATCATCTTGAATGTTTTACGAGTAACTGGAGAGATTTAACAATGAATAGAAAGTTTTCATGTTTCGAAAAAATAATTAATGGATCTTGTTCTATTTTTACATTTGATTATTACGTAAAAAAAGATAAGTAAAAAATGAAAATTGACTGTTGTAACAAAAAAAACATTTATGTATAGACATAAATAATGAGCTGAGAATATATCTAATTATTCTACGACATCTATACGGTGACTTTCAAAATGAGAAAAAAAAATAAAGAGAACGTTTTTTAAGAAAATTTCAGTACAAAATATCCTTTCTTTTTTTCAATTATCTCTGATTCAAACACTTTTTGTCTTTTAGAATATTGTGATTTATGTAGAAAATTTTTTTCCAATACTTTATATGAACAATTGTTTTATCCATGAAGTTTGGAAACCGCGAAAGAGGAATAAAATCTAAATGTAAAAGATGGATAAACGAAAGAACCGAAATAACATCAGAATATAAATAATCTATATAAAATATTTTTCGTTTTTTTCAACAATTTTCTCTATCCAAGATTTTTCACAAATTAAATGATATCTTTTATGTTTTAGGTTAAATATGAATCAAGGCGACAAATTCAAGTTTTTCTATCACATTTTCCATGAATACATCATCAAAAAAAACATTTGTGCCTTATATCACGTGAGAAAAATCTTATCAATTATATAATTCTATTTCATGAATTTTAGGATGATTCTGATTTCGTCGAATTGGCAAATGCTTCTAATAGACGATTGGCATTAAACTACACCTATGAAGATATAGAATTTACATTAGTTATTGCTATAAAAACAGGGAAAATATGTTTTCGTATAGAAGTAAGCAAATTATTTTTGTGCGATAAAAAGATAAAATACAAAAATAATTTCATTTGTTTTAGAACTATAAAATCGGTCTTGATTATGATATAAGAAAAACATTACAAATCAATTCCTTTGTCAAATTTAACAAGAGTTTAAAAAAACTCGAGTAAGATATGATGATATTCCATAAGAAAAAAAGGTCAACCTTATTTTCGTTTACTACAGATTGATCAATGAAAATGAATTCGATCATACCGTGCATATGATAACTAATGAAATCCTAATCGAATTAAATAATTTCAAATTAAAGTCAACTGGAGAAGGTGATAGTACATTACAAATAAATTCATCAACACAAGTTGTTGTTAAACAAAAAGATAGTGGTGTTGATGCATTCGATATCTTGGCAGAAGTCATTCAAGAAAACAAACCAAGAATCATATCTGAACAAGAACCAGAAGTTTTAAAAATTAAGGATTACTTGAAAGAATAAACAGATGATTAACGAATTTTTTCAAAGAAAAAAAAAGAATAAATAGATTTTTTTGCAAATCTTTCGATGCTAAGATAAGTCGATATTTTTCTTTTTCTTTTTATCTTCAAGAACACAAATAGTGTTCAACATTAAATACTTCACATAGTAACGAACAACATACATTTGAAAGATATTTGTACTCTTAAATTTAGAAAACAATCGAGATCTGATGGACAATCAAATGAATAAATCAATAAATTATGTATTAAAATTCAAAATAATTTTATGTGAAAAAAAAGACAATCCGTTCCGTTCGACTTGTAACTTAACTAAGCGTATTACACTTTTTTAAATGAGAATGAGAATTGATTGTAAGTTTGAATAGTCGTAGCAGAACAAATACATTGAGAAACGATACTCAGTGTAGAAATCATTTACAATTCACATATACATTGCAGAGAGAGACATCGAACAAGTATCACTTATTACCATTGAATTGTTAATAATAATATTATACAATAATTATTTATGATATCTAAGAAAACTCTATTCGTTTTTTATCTTAATTGTTTGTTATTTTTTATAGTAT